AAGGGGAAGAGTAGTGGCATTTCAACAGACAGTAGGCATATTGACATCATTGTGTGCAGTTACGTCCTGCATATGGCTGTGTAAGGAAAACCTGGTGTTTTCTGGCAGAAACTGGGAGTGAGGAAGCCCTAGGCAACAGTCTGTGTTGCCCTACAACATCCAAGACATCCCTAGCCAGAAGTTAACATTATGATAATTGTAGAAAGGAAATATTTGCTTAGAATAACATTCATTCTGAACCATCAATTTTATGATTATGTAATACAATCACATTTTCTCTCAATTCTATAATAAGTAGATATTTTAAGACATGCTTATAAGAATATATACTTTGTTTTACTATAGTCTTTCAAAATGTGATCTGAAAATTTAAAGTATGCTTCTAATGGTATTTTATTAACTTGTTATGTTATATAAATTGTTAATCATCACACATGTATGCTGCATCAAATTAATGGTATTCTCTCTGTGTTAAGATTTAAAAGCTTAATTTATACTGCAGGTATCTTAATAGGTAAGTCCAAAAATGAATGAGTATTATGGATTTCCCAGTGTAGAATGTAATGTAATCCTAAAAAAAAGAATAATCTGATAATGAGATTTAACCAACCAGAGTTTTACAAGTACAGATTTTAATTTAGCATTTTAATTATGTGACTTTTTTGGATATTGAAACATAAGAATAAAATTAATACTTTTATTGGGTAATTTTGGTGACTAATTCTAGTGTAATTTTTTTATGGTTAATACAGATTTCTAATAATTTGGAAGAGTCATCAAGTTTGCTTGCTATGTTTACATTATGTATTTTGGGTCTTCTCTTCAGTTTTGGCAATTCCTATCTATATATTTATGTTAGTATATGCAATTTTTTTTCCTCCTATAGAATATCTCAGAGTTATAATTATTGGCTTTTCTAAGTAGTTCAATGTATTTTTTCTTTAAATTTTTAATTGACGTAACATTTAGGTTGTTGCTTCAGGATAAATTGCTTGGGCTCGGCGCCTATAGCTCAACCGGCTAAGGCGCCAGCCACGTACACCTAAGGTGGCGGGTTTGAATCCCCAGCCCGGACCCGCCAAACAAC